GTTTCTGTATGAACTTCTTTGAATCTACGCCCTTCAGAATCGAAGGTGCGACCGGGATCTGATCGACCCTCGAGTTATAATTTTCCACCTTTTTATCATTATCCTCTATCTTCTTTTCTCCTGATTCAATCCTTTTGGTAAGGTCTTAGAGCATCTTCATAATAGCGGGGTTTGTTGCTGACCCGTTGTTGCTCGATCTCTCCGATTCCTGATCGATCTGAGGAGCCGTTTCCGGTGCTACGGTACTTGGACTTTTTTGGTGACTTTGCAGCTCAGCAATAGCTATTTGTTGTGCTTGCAACATTTCAAAAATGACTTGAAGACTAACATCTCTTTCCTCACCGCGCACACTTCCGTCGGTAGGAGAGCTTATGTCGACATGCACAGTGTTCCGTGAAGTCACGTCGATGGGGACTGCGCTGGTGCCTCCCCTGGTTTTTACGGTGGTACACCGGCATCTGTTGGTGCTACCCCTGGGTTTTGCGGTGGTACACCAACGTCTGCACCATTTTCTCCCTAAAGCCCAATACCGTTATTTTCGTGTACATTTGCTGAGTTAGACATTTTCACCTGAAATCACAGATTCTTGGACAAGAAAAAGTGTGAAGAATAACTTGTGTTTTCAGAAAACTAGCACCAAAACAATCACTATTATTTTTAGCCCCACGGTGGGCGCCAAACTGTTTACCTTGAAAATGGTATTTACAATTATATTTGATTTTGTGGTTCTAAAAATACGTGATTTATCTTAATACTAGTTGTTAGGCAATAGATGTTGAGTTTAAGTAAAGAGAATAAGATATGCAAACCAATAGGGTCACAAGGTTGGGCCTCAAGCTGGCTGGAATAGGGCCTCGAGGTCTAGATGAAGCTAATAACGAAGAACTATTGACAAAGAATCAATAATAATGAAGGCCTTAAAGATGGCCTTTTGCTGCTAATAATAGGCAACAAATGAAGAACAATAAATAAACAATGAATGAACAATGAAAGAATAAGCAATAAATGTGTAGAACAATTGTGTTAGCCAAGAGAGCAGAGAATGTTGTATATTACTCAATATGTTATTTTTTTACAAAATGACAAAGATCCCCTTTATATAGGAGGGGTGAACCCCAACACAGTACATGTCAAATAAATAACAAAGAAATACTACTAGTACAGTTGTACAACGGCTTAGCACGGATTTGTACTATTCTTGCAGACCCGTTAGTCCTCATCCCGTGCCTTCGGGGGTTTCCCGCCTTCCCATGACGATCACCGACTTGAGCTACTCCGAGATTGACCTTCGATATGCCCCCTCGAGGGAAGCACCTCGGGGTCCGCTTTCAAATTCCACTTCGAGCTCCTCGAAGTCGAGCGTTGGAGTGCCACAGTAGCCCCAAAGTCGAACTCTCCGAATTTGGCCGTCTACATAGTGTTTGTTACTCGTTGGCTAGGCCACTTTTTCCCTATAAATAGAGGGGTTGTATCCCATTGTAATTCATCCCAGATCAATAAAAATTCTCTCTCCTTACTTTTCTCCGCAACACGCTTCTTCTTCTTATATTGTTTTATAACAACTCGTTATTATTCGTAATATTTTTCAAATTTAATTTGTTTCAATTCAAAAATTGCATCCAATCATTTGCTATTTTATGCCAAAAGCAGGACTGGTAAACGAGCTAGATTGGCAAATTGAAAAATCATATAAAATCAGCATAAAATAGTTATGAATTATGATCCAACATTACATGTTACAGGTGTTGAATGGTTAATCAATTTTTGTTCTCTCGTTAACACAAACTAGTAAAAAGTCAAGATCTGCTTCTATTTATACAAAGTATTTAGTTCTTCCTAGAGCTACATGCATCGGGACGGGAGGCCAAAACACAACTCATTGCTCAATCCAGTTGTCCCTAGCTCTTTGATTTACAAAAACACAAGGCCTAGCATTAGCCAGAGGATAAAAGCATAACTCCGTGTCAATATATTTATATACTTCACATTAATAATGTAAAATATATTAGGCATCATATCAATTATATTATTTGGTGTGTAGGTAATTTCTCTTATTTTTTAATTTTACTAATCTCTCTTTTTGACTTACATATAATTATATTTTGGTTGGCGTAATAATATAATTTTCTTAAGATATATAATGCATTGAAGTTAAACTCAAACTTAACAGAAAACTTGTATTATGTTAGGAAAGTAAACGGTGGTATGAAATTGGATAGAACTTCTTTTTCTTTTTGACCTTTTGATAACTTTTTTAACAATCTTATGATAGTAAACACTTTCAGGATTTCAATCCAAATTTTGGTAAGAAGAATTTACGACGAGACATGTACTCGTATATATTACAAAAGAGTTTCAGAGATCTTGAAACTTACGTACGTTAATTTCCAAAAGAAAAGAAAAGGAAACAATGATCCAATATTCAATAGAGACCACATGGGTTCAGGAAAATCTCCTAAAACAAATGAATCTAATACAAAAATAGGTTGCAAAAGAATATGAGACTGGTCTTTTCATGGCTACTTGAAAAGACTTGTGAGAATGAACAACGTTAATATTTCCAAATTCCTTGTAGTAGACACAGTTCTAGGCTTTGGTAGTATAACTTTGTAGGGGTTATAGTTAAACCGTTGGGTCGTGTTCTGTCCCTTTTAGTTATCTAATCGTCATTACGATGCTTTCATAGCCAGTCCGAGTAATAAATGTCCATGTTTAGTAGTTGGTTTGTCATTAGAATAATTTTATTTTAAGATTACTTCTCTGAATGTCTATAAATGTTTTGTAGTAGTGGTCGAGGTCATTTACACTTAAAAATTTTCATATAAGAAATGCCCTGTGCATGGATCAAATTACACTATACAAACAAGGTGATCGGGTTTAGTTTGAAAATTAACCTATCATGTCATAAAAGCCTAAAAGGTCATTAAAAAGATCGTTATTACTCCTAATATATTATGAAGTGATGATTAATTTCAACCAAGCATTTAATTAATCGCTAACTTATGCTTTCATAGATTAATATTGTTTATATTTAGTTTACCACGTACACCATCATATTAAAAAATTTGGATTTGATTGTTATCGTTAACTCAACACGATTTTTGAAAACTCTTTTCTACGAGGTACCATAGAATAAAATCTATGACGTTATTCAACCTCTCCTCATTCGTTATTCGAGGTCATATGCCACCAAGTTTCTTCATGTTTTTACATCTTTGTGATGGGTTGAAAACCAATGGGACAATATTTTCACCCACACAACTAAAAAGAATGTGAAACACATAATTTATTGATATTGACAATGTAAATAACTTTTACAATAATACAACAATAACATACCTTATGTGATCTTACAAGTGGAGTATGAGAAGAGTGAAACATCCGAAGAACTTAACTTTATCTTGTGTGAGGTAGATAAACTGTTTCTGATAAACTCTCCGCTGAAGAAATTTTTATAGTACTATCAATATAATTTAACATGTTGTAGGAGAAGGTTGTCTTCCTTAATTTTGTAGATGACTAGTTCCGCTTAGTATAACACCAAGCTAAATATAATTTCTAAGCGACTTGATAGTGCATGAATTTTTTTACGTACATTATTCTTACATATATAAAGAAGTTAAAACTCCACATGATATTCCATACATTGAAGCTTGAGGATCACATATAGTTGAAACCATCAATATTCGCATAAAAGTAGCTTTTGCATTATAATCAAGAAAGTAGTGGTAGTAGGGAATTTTAAAGAGTTCCCTAAAACGAGAGCACATTCCATAGCTGTTGGTACGTACAACAAGACATATAAAAGAAGAGACCGCAATCACTCATTTAACACGATGGTCCTTTGCGTTCCATTCATGCAAAAACCTTGTGCTACTAATACTATACAGAATCTTATGCAGATTTGATGAAGAAATCTTCATTTGCTGCGACTGTCAAATTACTTATAACAGCAAAAATTGGTAAAAGTTTGAGTCCAAGTAACGTAACAAAGGGGAATGACATGACCTTAGTTCCGTTGTCCAAGTATAAGGGTCCACATAAGCTAGCCAATGGTTTTCATTTATGTAGCGAAATCATAGAAAAATATTATCAGTATATCTTGTCTTATTGTAACAAGTTACCTATTGTATTTATAAGATTATTAATTTTATTTATTAGGAGTATGAAATAATTACCCGTGATTATCTTTAATTATATAGGCAGCTCTGGATATCTCTTTGTCGTGTATTTGTTTGAATTATTTCGAAGAATGAGAATATCTCTATTAGTAGGTGGTTATCAGATCGTAAAAATGCGCAGGTGGACTATCCTTTAGGTAAAGAATTAACCTAAATAGTCGTCCACTCAACTTTTTAAACTAAAAACAGCCGGTAAAAGTATAATATATGCATAATTTATATATTATATGTGTATAATTATATATATTCAATGTATAAACTATGTATATAACTAGAAAAAGTAAATATTAACGAATATGACTGGCTATTTTTGTAAAGATCCCTTTTTTGGTTCGCTTTTTAAAGTTCAACCATTTTAAATGTAATAAAAACTAGTTAATTAGATCTTTTTACCCTTATCTTCATCATTTGAAAGTGACAAAGACTTGCTTCATCGTGTATGCTTTTTTCGAACATCAGGACTATGTTTTTCAATTTAAAACTTTTAAATGTGAAACTCTAACATAATATGCTGAAATTCATGTATGTAAAAGTCTAGAACAATGTCCATTTTGATTCGTGGTCTGCAAAGTGGTTATGAAAGGTGGTTATTTATCAGTTTTTTCCTATGAGGACATGTAAAGGTCTTGAATTCTAAGTCTCACTTATTTCCTTGGTAAATTTTTTAGTAAATCTAAACCAATTCAAAGAAACCCATCCAAGCAAACAACAAATGCTGGTGGTGACAAGTGACTGATAACTGAGTTATGAAGGTGGGACAACAACAACAAGTGACTTGATTGATTCTTAAATTACTTTTATCAAATTCTGCAACACCTTTCACAGTTTTGGCAAGCCTTTCTATTTTTAGTAACCCCATCTTTCTAAGACTCTTTCCTCTCATCTCCTCCTCCTCCAGTATCTTATCCCCAAACCCACAAACAAAAAAGAAAAATTTACACATAAAAAGATAACCACACCTTTTAGGGTTTCAGTAATTCTTAAGATCTCAAACTTTGAGCAAAAAGAAAAAAAAAACTATGGCTCGTGGTAAGATCCAGATCAAGAGAATAGAGAACCAAACAAACAGACAAGTAACTTATTCTAAGAGAAGAAATGGACTTTTCAAGAAGGCAAATGAACTCACTGTTCTTTGTGATGCTAAAGTTTCTATAATTATGATTTCAAGTACCGGCAAACTTCATGAATTTATAAGTCCTTCTGTCACGTAAGTATCTAAAAACTGCTTATTTTTCTATTAGTTATTTTCATATTTGTTGTATATTTCTTTTTAATTATTTTGATGTTGTTTCTATATTTTCAGGACCAAGCAGTTGTTTGATCTGTACCAAAAGACTGTTGGAGTTGATCTTTGGAACTCCCACTATGAGGTCTTTTAATTTTTTCCCTTCTAAATTCTCTAGATTTTTCTCTTTTTGCTTAAAATCGTGTATCATATCTCATCTAAAATATTAAATTCTTAGAGAGAATTAAAAATTATTTTGAACGTGTCCTTGTTCCGACCTAATTTTTTTTTTTCATGTTCAAAAACGTAGAAATTCTTTTTAACAATGGGTGACAATCTTATAACCCAAGATCTCTAAGAAAAGATACACTTTTTTTTTGCTTAATTATTTGTTCAACATATTTCGAGGTGTTTTCAGATTTATTACTTTGTTAATATTGTGCAGAAAATGCAAGAGCAGTTGAGGAAGCTAAAGGATGTTAATAGGAATCTCCAAAGAGAGATCAGGTAGATACCTACCTAGGATTTGTAGATCTATAATAGAAATCTATTATAGCTTTTTATTGATTAAAAAATGAAAATAAAAATCTCTTTTTTTCTCTTTCTTTAATTTTGACTGATATTATATTAAATGGATGGACAGGCAAAGGATGGGAGAAAGCCTAAACGATCTGAACTACGAGCAGTTGGAAGAACTCAATGAAAATGTGGACAATTCTCTGAAGCTTATTCGTGAAAGAAAGGTTAATTACAATCAAGGTTTTTTTGCCAATGCCAACCAATTTTTTTTTTTTTTGGTTAACAAAAGTTTTTAAATTGAATCAACTGTAGTTTCCTTTTTCACTCAGAACCTTTGCTCCTCTAGATCTACTTGAATATCTTAATCTAGATCCACAAAAAGAAAAAAAAAAGAACCTGCCTAGGTATAATATGAATATAGTGGAAGCTTAAATTAGAAGGGACCATTGGAGCAACGGTAAAGCTGCCTCCGTGTGAGCTATATGTCACGAGTTCGAGTCGTAGAATTAGTCACTGATGCTTGCATCAGTATAGGCTGCCTAATACCTCCTCGGAGTGTGACCCTTTCTTGGACTCCACATAAATGCGAAATGCTTCGTGCAACATACTACCTTTTAGTTGAAACTTCAATCACTAACTTACATTTTACTTTGTTAAATCACCTTAACATTATTAAAATGGCATAAGGGGTACTAGGAAATGTCTTGTCTTAAAACTAGAGGGGGAAAGCATTGCTACAGTCAGAGTTCTTCCAGATGATATGACAATTTAGCTTAATAGGTCAGAATTAATATCACTATTTTCTTGTTTTACTCTTTTTCCTTGTTCAAAAATTTGATTAGTAGCTGGCATATGCTTAATGACAATTTTTTCTTTCATCTTGGACTTCGCTTTTCATATGATGCTTTTGTTCTAGACAAGACTGACAAAATCACTTGGTAAAATATGACAATATTTACATTGCATGTGTATGTCTTAGACCTTTCCCTCTAGTCTTATTTGTCTAGTGAATATTTATAGAATGTGAGGAGCACCACCAAATAATGTGGTGCAGTCGATGAGGCTGCTCTTACGTTAACCAGAGATTTCGGGTTCGAGCTCTAGGTATGAAAAAATCCTTGGATAGCGAGCGTTTCCCTTCGAATTGGTCCCTACGCGGTACAAATTCGAATATAGTCGGACTCCAATGTGGGTATCGGACACCGGGCGAAAACCCCAAAAAAGAAAAAAATTAGAATGTGAGGAGTAATATCCTTAACTACCTTTTCATTCCATTTATTTGTCTTCCAAAGTTGGTCATTTAACTTTCTTTATGTATCACTGTATAAGCAATGCCTAACTTAGTTTCATTTGTGAAAGAACAGTATAAAGTGATTGGCAATCAGATTGAAACATATAAGAAGAAGGTAAAATTATATATTTGGTTCTCACCTTCTATATATTGAGCTTGTTTCCAGTAGGAGTTCTTCCTTCCATCACATGAGGGTGAATTCTTATTTTTGTTAATTTGCAGGTCAGGAATGTGGAAGAAATACATAGAAATCTCTTGCTTGAATTTGTAAGTCCTTAAACTTATTAATTCCAGCATATTTATGTTTTTGCTTAGAAATGAAATTTATTTCTCCAATCATCCACAATTGCTTCCCCCAAATTTCTTGATATTGTATAGCTAGAAGCAAAATTATTTGGCCGGAGATTAATTGTACGATATTTCTTTTTTCTTGTTTTGGGGAGGGGGGTGGGTGGGTGTTGAGGCATTTCATCTAGGGTGTTCAAACTTGAAAAAAGAAAAATAAAAAATCCCCGATAAAGGGTGTTCAATATATATTATATACCACTAAAATCTAATATTTACCTATATATACAATATAATTTTTCGATGAAGGGTGATCAACTGACCACCCTTAGAGCTATGTACCTTCACCCCTGGTTGAGGGGCGAGGGTCCTGTGTAATGGCCGACCGAAATGCCTACCGCTAATCTAATCAGTCTTCCTTCGCCCGAACCGGAATCAATTGGAAATATTAATTAGAAGCAAAATCATGTTGTGTGTGTTGAGAAATGGTCACACATTACTTTTCTTAAACGATCCATATGCATGCATGGTAAAAATCTTTCTGTAGAATTAAGTGCCAATTAACATAAAGAAGGTGCCAGTTAACTATTGATAGCTAACTGAAAAACAAGTAGAGATGGAGCTAGCTAATCAGTTGCTAGAAAGCTCAGAAAAACGAAATAGAAAGTGTAGCAAACAAGGCTTAAGTTTCCATAGTTGGACATAATTAACGAACCACTTCAAAAGAAAAAGAAAAAGAAAAAAATAAGAAAAATGTAAGATTTATGATCATCAACGACCTAGAACTAAGCATAATTTTCTATAGGAAGCGCTTTACTTTTTTTGTGAACCTACTTAGCATGAAACCAAATTAGTTGGACCAGTGAATTTTGAGGTATTTAAGATATTTCAAATGCTGCAGGATGCAAGACAAGAGGATCCATATGGATTGGTTGAGCAAGAAGGGGATTATAACTCTGTGCTTGGATTCCCAAATGGAGGGCCACGCATATTAGCCTTACGCCTTCAACCAAACCACCAGCCAAATCATCATCTTCACAGTGGAGGAGGCTCCGATATCACTACTTTTGCTCTAGCTTGAGTAGTAACCTACGAAAAATCCTGTGGGAGATGCGATCACCTGTCAGTGGAAAATTTTCTGCGTTCAGTCAATCTACGCAGAGTGAATCGGCCGGCCTTTAGCTTGTTGTAATATTTCCCTATTATAGTGTTTTCTAAATAAGCACATGCAATGTTTCTTGGACATGCATGACTTGACTCTTTAGACTACTCTGCTACTTTTGCTTCAAACGTAAAACTTATGTAAGGGTTTTAAACTCAATGTCGTTGTTTTGTATAAGGGAAGTGCCGTATAAGGTGTTTTTTGTAGTGTTTAACGTTATGTTATTTTTTCATGTCAATATTTGTTAGGCGTCTGTTAATCTTGTCAAATTTTACACTAGTAAAAAATATAGAATACATTTAATGCTAGAGAAACAATTATTAATATCGTTGACATTTTTGATATATTAAAACTAGACGGGCCTAAATAGAATGATATTATTCTAGTAAAAATGACACCAAATAGCGACTCTAAAGGTCTACTGTTTATGAATTAGTCCGTACGACCTCAACTTTAGTTTTTCGGTTCAATTTTTCAGGACAAAAATGTTCTGAATTGTCCTGAAATTAAGATTTTTAGTTTAAAATTTCAGGACAAAATAAATACTGCATTTGCCCCTATTATTTGTGATGATTCATATAGCTTACTAGACTTGTTTGAGATTGAGATGCAGTTGTTGTAGATTATTAGCAGGGAAAAGGGTCAAAAATACCCATCTACTATGCGAAAAGGATCATTTATAGCCTCCATTATACTTTTGATCCACCCTTACCCCTAACGTTACAAAAGTGACGCAAAAATACCCCTCCTCCATTAGGGCCCTCCACCATGGCCATCATCATCCCTGTCGACTGAATATTTAGCTGAGGTGGACGCTACGTGGCATGCCAACTCACCGTTCCAACTCCATTTTACCCCTGCCTCCACGTTGTCTTCTTCCACCACTATCTCCCCCATCACCCTCCATCACCCAAAAATAAATATTTAAATGAAAAAGTAAGATTTGTTGATTACTAATTTCTGTTGATTCTTAGAGGCATTTGATTTTTCATGCCAACTTACACTAATTTGTGCCAGAAATTTCTTCTTGTTTTCTATGGCAAATTTGACTTTCCATTCTGCCTGTGATTCATAGTTTTTCAGTATGCCGAAGCCGTGGGTACACCAGTACTGTGATTTTGCTTTTTATCCGTGGTTTGGCTGTGAATATAGCCAGATATGAAAGGTTTAGCTTTTTACTATTTAGGATTTGATTTAATTATTCTATGGTAGTATATGGAACTTTTTGTAATAGTCGGATCTAGTTCTAGTTTAATGGTTCTTAATGTGGTATTCCCATGGGTAATTTGCTAATAGCTGAAAAATTTCGCCTAATAGAGTAAGAGAATGGTGGCAGGCATTTTTTGTTGTTTTCCTTTAATATGATAGATGCCAAATATTCAAATTTAATGTGAGATGCGGCAATTTAAAAAGGAGATGTGGCAACAATCATGGACCTATAGAAATAAGGTAGTGGTCTTTGTGATTTCTCTTTGAATTGAAAAAGAGAAAAAGAAAAATGTGGAAGTGATAGTTGGGTGAGGGAGGAGATGATGGTGGAAGAAGAAGAAATAGGGTGAGATGGTAAAATGGGGTTGGGAGGCTGACGTGGCATGCCATATGGCATCCACCTTAGCAAAATATCAGTCTGCATGGGATGATTGTGGCCATAGTGGAGGGTCTTTGTCACGACCCAAATCTACCATATTGTGATGGTGCCTATCGTGGTACTAGGCAAGCCGACACATTACCAAAACCAATCAATATTTCCATTTTTAAGATGAATCAAGCTATTTAACAATAAACCTTCATAAGGAGTTTAAATCAAAACAACAATGCGGAAAGAAAGTCCGACATCGGAGTGCCACTAGTCAGGAGCGTCTACTAAGAACTGTCTGATAATACTAGACGAATACAGTCTGGAAAATAACTAATAACATCTATAGGATGATAGGATGGAGAAGAGTAGGGCTGCGATCGTCATGCAGCTACCTTTCTAACTCCTACAGATCCGCGATGGATGATACCAACACTCGCTAGCACGTCCAGCAACCTCTGGATCTGCACACAAGGTGCAGGGAGTACCGTGAGTACGCTAACTCTGTAAGTATTACATGCTTTCAAATGAGTATGTGAGTCAAATCATCTTGTTTAAAAATCCAATTTCACTAAAACCATTTTAAACATCTTTTAATAATTTTTCCAAAAAAGTTATGAAACGGTGAGTAAAAATTATGAAACATCACTCCTGAACAGGCCCTCGGCAAAACATCACTCGTGAACAGCTCCTCGGGCAAACATGAATCATAAACAGCCCCTCGAGCTAACCTCACAATCGCTCGTAAATAGCCCCCCGGGCATTACATGTATCAAGAACAGCCCCTCGGGCAAAACACCATATCACTCATTCAGGGTACCTGCGCTCGCTGGGGTGTGCAGACTTCGAAGGGGCTCCTACATCCCAAGAACTATAATCCGCATGGACAACTCACGTGCTGCACGGATAACTCACGTGCTATAACATCAATATCAGAATCCGCACGGACAACTCACGTGCCATAGTCTCAATATCTCACAATCAGGCACTCGACCTCACTCAGATGAATCAGTAACAACATGCTGCGGCGTGCAGCCTGATCCATAAATATCCTCACAAAAATAGGCCATCGGCCTCACTCAGTCACAACCTCTCAAACCACTCGGGCTATCATTAAAGACAGGGTGCTCAGCCCAAAATATTATTTTATGATTCAAAATGGGTTAAAAAAGACTGAGTTATGAAATCATTTAACACAACATGGCTGAGTATGGATCTTAAATCAAATACAGTGAGAGGATAATAAGAAAAGAGCTCTAAGGTCCAAACAGCTTTGGCACAAGGCCCATATGTGGCGTTCAACCCAATTTATAGTAGTTCTTTCTAAAACACATAAGTAACAAATAGTTTTCAGTCAAATACGCAACTTTATAGTTGCTACGGGCGGATCAAGTAACAATCACCAACGGTGCACGCCCTCACGCTCGTCACCTAGCATGTGCGTCACATCACAATAGTAAAACGATATAAAATCCGAGGTTTCATACCCTCAGGACTAGATTTACAATCATTACTTACCTCAAACAGGTCAAATCCCTACTCCGTGACTCCCTTGCCTTTGGAATCGGCCTCCAAACGTCCCGAATCTAACTAAAAGCAATACAATGTAATCAATATAGGCTAAGGAACCAATTCCATGCGAAAACTATCAATTTAGACCAAAATCCCGAAATTCACCCAAACCCGGCCCCTGGACCCACGTCTCGGAATCCGACAAAAATCACAAACCTAGAAAGATCTTTCACTTACGAGTCTATACATACCAAATTCATCAAAATTCGACCTCAAATGGTCCCTCAAATCCTCAAATCAAACGCTCCACTTTTCAAGCCCTAATCCCTTAATTTCATCCCTAACTTATTTAATTACATGCTTAAACAACTGAAAATCACCATAATCATGAGTATGAGTTCAAGTAGCTTACCTCCACGAAAACCCCCTTGATTCACTCTTCAAAACCCTCCGAAAAACTCCAAGTCCGAACAAGAATGGTGGAAAATAACCCAAATTTCGCGAATCTCCAATTTATAGGTTCTGCCAAGCAAAACCGCAACTGCGGTCCCATTCCCGCATCTGCGGGACCGCTCCTGCGAAAACCTTTTGGCTTCCGCGGAATTTCATTAAAAGCCCACTTCCGCTTCTGCGATATCCTGACTGCATTTGCGATCATTGCAGATGCGGGGACCAAGCCGCACCTACGATCCCATCTGCGCACATGCGCCTTATACCCGCTTCTGCGGACCTCACACCTGCGGTTCCCACTCCGCAGGTGCGGTTAAGACAGAATCATCAGCTTCAGCTGCATTACCAAATTTCCAAACTCTCTGAAAATCACTCGGAATCATCCCGAGGCCCTCGGGACCTCAACCAAAAATACTAACAAATCACATATCAACATTCAAACTTAGTCAAACCTTTGGAATACTCAAAACACCGAATCACCCTCGGATTCAAGCCTAAGAACTCCTAAACTTTCGAATTCCGCAAATGATGCCGAAACCTACCAAACCTCGTCCGAATGACCTGAAATTTTACACACACATCACAAATGACACTAGAAACCTATTCCAACTTCCGGAATTCCATTCCGACCCTGATATCAAAATTTCCACTACCGATCGAGAGACACCAAATTTCCAATTTCGCCAATTCAAGCCTAATTTTAGCACGGACCTCCAAATCACATTTCGGACGCGCTCCCAAGTCCAAGATCACCTAACGGAGCTAACCAAATCATAAAATTCCAAATCCGAGATTGAATACTAAAAAGTTAAAACTTGGTCAAACCTTTCAAATTTAAAGCTTCAAGCTGGGAATCATTCTTCCATATCTGTTCTAATTAACCTGAAAACCAAAACCGACGATTCACATAAGTCATAATATGGGACTAGTCATTCTCGAGAACTGGCGAGCGAAGTGTAAATGCTCAAAACGATCGGTCAGGTCGTTACATCCTCCCCCACTTAAACATACGTTCGTCCTCGAACGTGCCTAGAGTCGTTCCCAAAATCATCAAATCGTTGTATAACCTTACTATGCACATACCGGGGGTGATCCCTCGTCACCCTATCCCATATAGGTCCGATAACACAACATAACTGAAATTTCACAATTCACCCTAGCCCATAACCTTAGAACCAAATTTCCACTTCCGAAATTATCTATAAGATCAGAATCTAACATCTACACACTGAATAAGTCTGAACACGCTGTATCAAGCCATAACCGAAATTCAATATGAAATCACATGATATACCACACAACTCAAACACTCATGGCGATAACTTCTAATCACAACAGCTGCTCAAACAACCCGATACCGGTAATAAACCTCTTATCAAATAAAGCCTCATTCCAACACTTCCGTATACTGCCGATGATGAAAGAAACACGCAGAAATCATAATCATTCCCCCGATCAACCAGTCATGGAGTTCCCTCTCCATCGGCAAGGACCGTAGTAAATTTCTAAGACGAATTCCGATATTATCCCTCCAACATACTGAAATCGAATCCGACAGTATTCATTCTAGGTTCAATGACCTCATCTCATCCAACACGACTACTCTGGTGACATGACACATCAATACGATTTAAATCCACAATCCTTGCACCAAAACGCAATAATACAAAGGTACTCAAATCATGG